AAAAATAGAAATACATTGGTTGTCATGGGCATCTGCTCCAGATTCTGTCTGCTTCAGTTTTGATAAATCCCCCTCATTGTGTTTCAGGACTTTAACCCTTTGTTAGGACAGACAGTCCCGCTCAAGAGCTCTTAGCAACCTGTGACATGAGGGGGATGCTCTGGCTGGCGTCCCGCTATGCTCCTGGCAACCAGTGGCATCAGTGAGCCGGAAAGGATACCGAACAGAGCCACTAACAGAGCAAGTAAATACTTTAGCCTGGATTCACACCTAGGCGACAGCGCTTTTGCGCGTGTCTACGTGCGTTTTTGATGCACATTTTTTGTGCGGTATATGCGCATAAATCAAATCATGTGTTTTTGTGAGCAGATCGTAGCTCATTAATGTTAATGAGCGATTGCGCATGAAAATGCACAAAAACAGTAAACACGCATTTTCAAGTGTTTCCTATTGAGTCTATGGAGCCAAAACGAGCTGTAATAAGGAAGGATCTCAAGTCTCCCTGATGTTCATGGAGTCTCCCTCTATTAGATAGCGGCTCCCTGACGTCCGCGAGAGAGGCATTTTCTCCCTGAAAGGTTTACTCTGAGTAAACCTTTCCGGTAAGATATCAGTGGGTAAAGTTTCAGAGTGAGGCTTGCCTCCTGGAGGTAAGGTCATGTGATATCTAGAGTAGCCTCAGAACGAGGCTTGCCTCCTGGAGGAAGGTCATGTGATTTGTAGAGTAGCTTTAGAACGAGGCTTGCCTCCTGGAGGAAGGTCATGTGATCTCTGGAGTAGCCAAGGATGTCTGAATATGCCAAAAAAAAGTTGCTGTACTTTTTCCCTGCGACAGGCGTATTGCTTATTGCGGAAAAAACACTCAGATGTGAACAGAGCCATATTAAAGGAGAACTATGACATGAGTGATTTCCACTCACGTCATAAAGCCGGGATCCGCCCCAGGTGCGGCGTCTCAGTATACCGCGAGCTGTAGCTCGCGGTATACTGAGCTTAGGGTGACGGGAGGACGCTAGTTTGTGTCCTCCCGTTACCCTAAGGAGAACTATGGGGAAAAACACTGACCCCATAGTTCTCCTTTAATGAATGTTTTTTTTTGGGGGGGGGGGAGGGGGGGCATTTATTTTGAGCATATTTTAGGGCAGAAAAAGCTCTACAAAACGCTCAGTGTGAAACAGGCCTTAAAGTGGACCTTTACCCCTGTTCACTAAACCCTCATTCACACTGTAATCAGCCCGCACGTACAGCTCCATGCTGTGTGCGGGCCGTACCAAGCAGCTCCCAGGAAGGACAGGTGCTGCGTGTGATTAGTACGCAGCCCCCGTCCTTCTCTATGGGACTACGCGGCCGTACGCTCACCCGCCCTGCACGTCCTTGCGGGTGAGCTTACTCGTACACTGACAGGATGGATCCTGTCTGTGTCCGAGCCGGAAAACACGCACCCCTACAGACCAGCACTTGAGGTGAGCATAGGGGGGCTTACGGCCGCGTAGTCCCATAGAGAGGGACGTGGGCTGCGTACTAATCACATGCAGCACCTTTCCTTCCCAGGGCATGCTTGGTACGGCGCTGTACGTGCAGGCCGATTACAGTGTGAATGAGGGCTAAGGATCACATCTTGATGCAGCTCTGCATGTGGATATAAAACCATTTTACATTCATTAGTGAAATAAACATGTCTTGCTTTTACCTACATTTACATTACTGTTTTTCCACTTCCTGGTTGAGTGAGGCACTGGTGATGTAGCCCTGTCCTCACAGATCTCACAGATGCATCCTGGGAAGGGTACATCACCAGTGCCTTCCTACGAAATCTCAACTGTAAATTAAAAATTCTCACAGATGCATCCTGGGAAGGCTACATCACCAGTGCCTTGCTACGAAATCTCAACTGTAAATTAAAAATTCTCAGATCTCAGAGAAATTGAATTTTTCCCCCCCTAGATGATTTGCACTGTCACATGTTGCAGGAGGCAGACCCAGAGTTCCAGGAAGTAAAGGGATATAGATTCATCTGTCCTCAGTGAAAATGGGTAATGTGAAGAAAGGAAAAATAAAGTCTGCAAAGAATAAATTGTGTGTTTGTAGAATGTCATTACTAAACATATCTAAAGGGCCTTTGTTGTGATTTTTATGATAAGGGTGAAGTACAGGTGTAACTTTTTGTGCATACTTAAATTGGTCCAGCTTGGCCCATTGTAAGTATGCATATGCCACAGGTCATCGGCTCACGCGATCCTGTAAAGCACTGTAGTAGCCGCAGTTACAACAGTGCATTACTGCATTGCAGCAATCATCTGGGACCTATTTTGCCAACGTGCTGGGCAACCTCCCCCTTGCTTTGAGGCGCCATTCACACTTGTTTGTGCAAGTTCACACATGTTTTTGCTGTAGTTGCTGCGCGTCAATCAATGGGCTTCCCGATGTGTGACAAGTACGTATTTCTGTGCATTTGACACGTGTCCACACGCGGAAAAAAATGCTTGTTTTTACTGCCCGTGTTTGGGGTGCCATTAATGGCATCACAAGCACACTGCACATTTTTGGTGCAATGCGAAGGTTTGATCCCAGCCTGAAACACAGTGGGTGGGGCACATTGGCTGTTCAGAGAAAGCCTAATATTTTTTATCAATGAATACAAGGTGTTCTCCGATTGGACGAGGAGCCAAGGAGATTGTGATGCCACCCCTCGTGGTTGTAGATTTCCAATACTAGTCACCTGTTGAACGTGACAGTTTTGCAATGGCTATGGAACTTCCTTTAATAGTGTGACAATGCTCACTTTCTGGCTGCCAAAGCTGTGGAGATGTTGTCACCCTGCTGTGCAAACAACAAGCAGCCTTTGCCAGCCAATGTGCTGAGGTCAGTGACTGTCAAAATCTCCCCATTTAGCATGCGAAACCAGGACTTTTCAACTGCAGCAATGTCACCAGCTTCTCCTCACGTACAGGGACAGACGTGCTGCTATAATGGTCAAGTGACCACAAAAAAAAGACAGGTATTTAAACGTATTCTTTAATGCTAAACATACCAAATATTATAATTGTATTCCTCCACTTTGCCAATGCCTTGATGTGAACCATAGGGTTTACATGTCCCTACAAAAATGCAGATCAATGGACCCGAACACTTTGCCCCACTGGCGTGAACCATGCTGGAAAATGTAGCAAAATGCATGTCAACACTGGAAGAACAAGTCTTCCATTGCCTCATTATGTATGAATGCATTCATACTGCAAGCTGTCACTACATTCTGAAACATCATTACATGTATTTTAAGATCTCTACCCCCCTGAATAAAAAATGCATAAATGTAAAATGTTAATTTACAAAAATCCACCATTTAGAAAAGACCAAAATATATATTCTAATAAGCAACTTCAATCGCTTATGGGGTCAATGCACAAAAACACTTACGGCATACATAATGTGCTAAATATCACCTTGGCTAATTTACAACAAGGATTAGCTCACATTATTATCATTACATTTACCACTTGTTACCATGAACTATGTGTAAAAGTCAGTTCACAAAGGTTATCACTTCTTAATGCCCATCCCCAGGCAAATGTAAACTTTCCCTTAAAGCGTTTGTCAAGTCTGCTATTCACCAACAGACTATCACATCAAATGCATTTCTTTTTCTAAACGTTTCTACAATATAACATGCTGCCAATCACCTTAAAAATGAATGTGCTTCGACAGTCCCATGACTGCGAGAGCTCCATTCAGAATCCTCTTTTGTATGCTGTGGGTGTGGTTAGAAAGAAGGCATGCAGCCGGTGTCTCTTGTCAATCAAGCTGAACAGGTATGCCAAGCATTGGCATGGTGCACTGTAGGTCTAATTAGAAATTAAAGGGATGCAATCTGACCACACTGGGGCCTGAGCCGGGGGGGGGGGGGGGG